TAACGTGTCGTTAGCATCGTGCGTGATTTTATTTCTTAAAATTGTAAGGGCCGCGAAGTATTTCCTACTTCCCCTTGCATATAAAGTCATTGCGTTATGAGCCGCTTCTCTCCAGCTATAATACGCGTTGTTCTTCCCCGGAAATTCAGGTAAAGATTTGATAACGTCCAGTGACTTCTGGCAAATTATCATTAATGGTTTCAGATTGATAGTTAGTAGTCCTAGGGGTATTTACATCTACCTGAGCCCTTAGGCTATCAATTTCCTGCCTTAGCGTAATAGTGTTATTAAACGCGAAATCAGGTCCACGGTTAAATTTGCATTGTCGTTAACCATTTTGATTTATTACTGTTTTTTTTTGTAGTTAAAAAGTTTTTCTATCTTCTTTTTACGTTCTCTAACGTTTTTGTTTAGGTATGGGCAGTTACCTATTTTGTAAGCCCCGCGACAGTAATACAGTCGTTCGTATTTGGGTCTATCTAACTTATTTCCCATTTAAAAGTTTTTAAGTCTGGCCTTCTATTTTAGTTTTCTGTAAACATTGCCTTTTATTATTATTATTTATGTTATTATTATAGTGCTTTTTCACTTTGATTTTTTCTTTTCACTTTAGAACCACAATAATTTGAAATGTTTATTATTTTTGTATTCGTGATCCCTTCTAGGAAAGGATGCTCTTCCATTCTGAAGGGTCTGGAGTTCAGAATCGCAGAATTGGGCTGAGTTATAAAAGGGTTTTATTTCTTTTTATTGGCTGTGCAAGCCTTCAGTTATGTTGGGTCTTTTATATCAAACTAGCAAAGCACCCGACGTCGTTCGGGGTAAACAAATCAAAATATAAAACAGTAATACAAATATTCAGTTCAGCATAATTTAAAGCAGACAAACTATTTTCTTTGTTTACATAAAGGCATGCTTATGAGCCATACTTTTAGCTTTATCGTGATTTAACTAATATATATTGATCACACACGCAAACGTCAAGCTGTGAGGTTGTACTTTATTGTGCTCTGATTTTGGCTTTCTACTTACTATGTTTATTGTGCTGATTCTGAGTTGAAGTAGTGATAAAAAGTGCTTATGAGCATCATAGTGTGAAATAATTGAAGCTAAGTGAAAGTTATTGTGTTTTATATTAAACTAGCCGAGTCATTTGTTACTATCATTGTTGTTGTATTCTTCAGGAGTCCCTCAAGGTTCTTGCTTTTTATAAACGATACTTCTACAGATATAAAATTTTCCAAAATTGTAATGTATGCAGATGATGTAAAGCTTTATAAATCGTAAATTTCAATTAAAGAATGGAAAAACGCCGTAGAAAAACCAGAAAGCTGTGCGACAAATGTAAGAAGCCAATGTGTCTTGAACATTCGGTCACATCAACAAATTGCTCTATTTGCCATGATTTTCCTTAGATATAAGATGCATTTTTATAATTTTTATAATAAAAGTCAATAATATAATGTGTGAAATGAATATTTTTAATTTTTCAAATAAAAAAATAATATAAAAAATGTTAAAAAAAAATCATAGAAATCGGTTGAATAAGCATTAAAAAAACCGCAAAATAAGGTCCCGGGTACAAACGTATCCCGGGTGTGTGTTTACGTGGTATTTTCTGGGTGTGTGTTCTAGGGTTAAACACAGTCAGTAGACAGCACCAGTTAGATTTAGTTTGGGTGCCTGGTCATAGCAACATTTCTGGAAGTGGGGCTGTAAATGAGTTAGCCAGGGAGGCCTTAATCTAGGGCCAGATTTAACCTCTAATCTTAACTATATATACATGGCAATATGCATATGTATAGGGAAATATTTCTCCATACTCTTAAAAAATCGGAGCAGAGGTAGCGCATGAAGTCAGGCTGCGGTATAGGTAAATTCATGTAGCCCCTGTAGAACCCTAAGGGAACACACAACTTATTAGGAAAAATCAGACCTGACATTGCGAGGCGGTTCTTACTGCGTTTGGCCAGTTGGTATCTACGCCCAGAAGGCTGGGAATCGCCTACAACGACTTCTGTAGAAGCTACAGAAATGAAAACGAATATCAAACATTTTTGTACTTGGACCTACTATAGTATTTCGCCAGCATTCTAACATAACCTGACCTAACAATGGGGTATCGTCAAGTTCACTAAAGAGTCAAAGTGTTCTCTACTAGCAGCCAACTATGAAAAGCAGAGAGCTAAGCTTTGTTTCTCCATTTATGTTAATCATATTTGATTATTCGTTTTTGGATTTTTCTTGCTATTCTAGTTCGCAAATCTAAGTCACTTCAATTATGTATGTAGTACTCTATAGATAGCCACCTAAACTCAATTATTGTATGTTTCCTGTGGTCATCTGCATATGCTCAAGTGGACACGCATGCATTCAAAGGCATTATAGTCGCATTAGATGGTTAGGTATGCATTTGGTGCATAGAGCTGGCGAATGCCATTGAAAGTACCGTAAAATTGAATTGAACTAAATTTTGAGTGCTTTATTTTTTTTAGCAATTTTTCGCTCAATTTCGCAAAAAAAGAGACAGAGACAATGTGACTGAAAATGCCTACCACAAGCATACGGTGCAGTAATTACTTAGAATTTGAGCGGGACTAACGTGTTTAAAGAAATTTGAAAGCTGTTCGGATAGCAAGTTTTATTACAAGTAACAAATAATTTAAATACATATAAATGCATATTTTTTTGCCGTGTAATTGCCAATAAAAGTACGTTGCACGCAATCCGTTCGATCTTTAAGAAACTTGAACGCGGGAGGCAGAAAATCTCTACTCAAAAGTAGAAAAGCAGAACGCTGAATTGAAACAATGTTTTTACAAAAGCTGTTGCAGATAATATTTCAAATTATCCTAGTACTACAGGTACGAGCAAATTTTAAAATTCCCAAAAAAAGACATTAAAAATAAAACAAATTAAAACCGCAATCTTTCTACCCCGCTCACCTCGTAGTTCATCGCCGCCAGTACAGACGAAGTCGACGTGGACGAACTGAAGTTACAAATCAGCAGTCATCTGAGCTACACAGCGCGACGTCTGCGGCTTGTACAACAAAATGTAGAAGCTCAGTATGCCGAGGAGTTGGAGCAGTTGCTCGCACGTTACTTAAAAGCCGCCAACGCTGAAGATCCCCTAGTGGAAGAGAAGCTGCTACTCGAATATGAAGGCGAACAGCGACAGACGTTTATGGGCTATCTCAGTCTGCAATACGACGAACAGTTCCTCAATGAGGACATACGCATACAGGAGTGGAGTATGCGACAGTTGTTGTCACAGCTGGGTGGTGGTGGTGGTGGTGGTGGCCCAGTGGCTGAGGAAATTGAAAAGATGCTGCCAGCGTATGAAACCGCAGCGAAAATTGAGGATTTCGATAAGAAATATGCGGCTTTTGCGGAAATACAGGAAGGCTTTTCGCCGGCCCTTTGGCAGCTACTAGATGCCGAACCTGAGGATGTGATGTTACTGAATGTACAGTTGCAATTCTTTCGGGAGTTTTTAATGTATCTGCTGAAACACGAAGATGCAAGGCAGTTCACTGTGAAGTTGAGAAATGTCCTTGCCGAGGTGGAGGCGGCACTGGCGAGTGCGGATGTGAAGCAAAAAGTGGGTGTGCTCGATAGTTTTGATGATTTGACGACGAAATTCGGACGATTTTTTGATTACAAAATATTGGAATTTGAGTTTGATCGGTTTGGGCGTTGAAGTTTTTGGTGATCGGTTAAAAATGTGTTCAATGGGTTTAAATTGTGAATAAATTTTAATATTGAAAAATTTTTGTGAAAATAAAATAACTCTTTCAATCTGAATTGCATGAATTTGTTATTGGTATGCGTGGCAAGTGAAACTAGAGAAATTTATTCAAGAGCTGACAATTTTGAAATCGTATAAGAAAAGCGAGCGCTCTAAAGACGCTGTTGTTATCGTGTGTTATCAGTTTTAACCGGAGTCGATCCAAGGCTCAAGCAAAATGCTTTAACGGATGAAGAAGCCCTTCAGACGTGCAAAGATAATGGGCCTCATGCATAAAAAGTGAGCTTAAGCTCCGACTCGTTTTTCAGTACAAATTCTTGAGCTTGAGCTCACCCTTTCAGTGCAAAAATTGAGTCTGAGCTTAAGCTCACTTTTTATGCATAAGGCCCAATATCATCCGATTGCTCTAGAACAAAAATGTTTCAAACAAGAATAAGAGTTTTTCTGCATTATGGCGACGAACCGACATATATACATACATTTTTAATGTGAATATGTATTAAAAGCGAGTCTCCCCTGAATCGTTTTTCGAATGTCGAAATTGTTCGACTCAGAACATCACTAATTACAAGTAAAATTGCGGAAACTGGACATTTTAATCTGCAATACTTTCGGAATAAAAGAGACTGATGCATTGTATTTTAAAATTTTGGAATTCAGGGCACATGTGAAATAGAATTAGGTTCCCCAGGAAGAAGAAAATCGAAGAAAAAGAATTAGTGGGGAAATGGTGAAGTGTCAGTTTTTTAGATGAATACAAGATAAGGTAGATTGAAGTGAAACAACAGTAATGCTTCCCAGAACGGCCGATTCAATATAATCGAATCGTGCCGATTGATCCAATAGTTCCTGCGAAAATTCTCACGCATTAAAATGGATTGATTACACAGTGCAACAAACATTTGGTGGCGGAAAAAATCGAATTCAGTTCGAAAGCCTTATGTTCAAGTAGCAAACCTGCAAAAGATTTTTGGATTCCCATACATTTTTTTTTTTTTTTTATGGACGAAACAATTTTTATATAACCAGTAAAACGTAGAAAAAACGTTGCTTAATTCTAGGGAAAATTTTAAAAACTTACTTTGCTTTCTGTAGACTTACGTTAATCGTATAAAAATCAGACACATAACAGTTATAAGTTTTATCGGAAAAAAGGTTGTTCCAAACAGTTATTAGATGAGAAATATTTTTTATTTCGCCAATAAGAGTTATAAACCAACGTTTATTTTTTACGTTGCCTGATAACTGTTATGCAGGACGAATGTGTTTTCCATCGCCAATAAGAGTTATTTCGCGACGTTTATTTTTTTACGTTGCTTGATAACATTTGTTACCCAAAGTTTATTTTAACGTTGTCTGATAACAGTTATTTCACTCCTCCTCTTTTATTTCCATCATATTTATCTTCTTCTCCAACTCCGTTTTCCCCAATATTCTTATTTTATAACGTTTATCAGACAACGTAAAAAATAAACGTTGGCTAATAACTGTTATCAAGCAACGCAAAAAATAAACGATGGGCAATAACTGTTATAACGCAACGTAAAAAATAAACGACGGGCAATAACTAATAATAAAACAATGTAAAAAGTAAACCTTGGGTTATAACTCTTACCGGCGAAAAAAAAAATATTTTTCATCTAATAACTGTTATGAAACAAAGTTTTCGTTAAATTTCAAAATTCGGGCAACGTTTTCAATTTGTAAATTCGAGATAACAGTTATTTTAATTTTTGTCTGAAAATAGCCCTAGTAAAAATTTACGATAAAAATATTTTTGGAAACTTTTAACCCTCAAGCGGCCACCGAAATGCCCTTTTTGTAGAGAAACTTCTTTGCGCTCGGTTGCCTGTAAACCCAAGCTCCGATGAAAATAATATGCAACAAAAGAAGGGATGGGATGGCTGCCGAAGTTGGGCACGATTAAGAAAAAGATTGAGATTAAGATTAATATTGAGATCGAGATTAAGGTTAATATTAAGATTAAGATTGAGACTACGACCAATATTAAGATTAATATTGAGTTTAAGATTAAGATTATGATGGAGGTTAAGGTTAAGATCAAGATTAAGAATGAGATTAAGATTGATATTAAGAACAAGATTAGGATTAATATTTGGATTAGGATTAAGATTAACATTAATTTTGAGATTAATATTGAGATTAAGATTAAGATCGAGGTTAAGGTTAAGATGAAGATTAATACTAAGAATAAGATTTAGACTAAGGTTATGGTTAAGTTTGAGAATATTATTAAGATTAAATTTGAGATTAGGAGCAAGATTAAGATTAACATTGAAATTAAAATTATTATTGAGGTTAAGATTAAGATTAATATGAGATTGCGATTAAGTAGGGGCAAGATTAATATTTATATTAAGTTTTAAACTAAGATTCAGACTAAGACTTGCCGCCTAAGAGACTTCGCAGCCAACAACTGATATGAAATTTTAATCATTCCTATTTGGCATCCGATTCGTAAAAAAATTAAGAAAAGTCATGAAATGTGTTGAAGGGATTTGACGCTGAAGCCCTCAGCGTTTTAATATAGAACTTTGTTTTCAGTTTCTTAATTTGTTTAGACGTAAATATCACAATTAAATAAAGTAAAATAAAAAAGTTGCAGAAGAAAAGTGTAAATATTTGTAGTAAAAAAGTTATATTAAATTGTATTATTTGCACTTCTTTACATGCACTTTGACAACAGATTTATTTGCATATGTAAGTAAATAAAATGCAAAAATTGTCCAATGAATTCCATTGAAATACATACATACATACATAGGTACATAGAAAATGTCAATAGTAATTATTTACAATTCAACAAAAAACTCAAGCAAATATATGACAAAAAATAAAACAAAATATTTGTTTTTAACACCGCACAACAAAGTCCAACTCTTTCTACATGCTAGTCACGGGTCAACAGATTCTGAAGGACTGGAATATAGGCTCTTAAGGCCTTTGTGATATGCAAATAGGAAATTACTGTGAAAAATGAGTCATATGTACAACCCGCATGTACAAGTATTAGTACATATGTTTCCAGATAAGTTGGTTTGTGGAGCATGAGAAAGTATTAATCTTTGTTTTTTATATAAGTATACATATGCATACATACATATGTACATACATATAAGTCATATAAGTTCTTTGAAATGCCACTGTTTTTCGTTTCTCTCAATTACTACGTTTATTCCAACAAATCTAATTGTGTAATATTCGATGTGAATTTTTTTTACATTCACTTAAAATTCTACATATTATTAGTTAAGAACATTTTCATAACACCCATAATACTATTTTAATTAAAAGTAAATTATAATAAATTAGTTTAAAATAAATATAAACTGCTTTATAATATGTATGAAGAAGTGCATACATATGTATGTATATATATATATATATATATATGAATGCTTTTATGAGAGTATTTTCAATGTTCATAAAATTTTTTGACTACTCGAGCATACAAAAAATCACTTTAATTCCTATATGTAGAACATTCCGCTTTTAAAAATAAACTACTATAATGTTGTTGCTTTTGCCTAAATATTCTTCAATCCCTTCATAATCAAATAGTCCTCCAAATCTTTAGTACGCTCCACAAGCCACACCGAGTAGAATAGCTGTCGCTGCATCTCATTGTAATCGTTCTCCACCAGCGCTGAGCTAACAATATTGTATAGCTCCTGTAGTTCGGTAGCAAATTTTTCATTCTCCTCTTGCAGCAGATTCGCATAGAAATTGCGATATTTGCCCAGATTGCGTTGAAAGTGTAACATCCATGAACATTTCTCGCTGGGTTCGATCGTTTCGTTATCACTGTTTTTGCAGTCGGGATCGCGTGGTATGAGGAAGGCGGGCGTGCGGGTGAACTGGCAAGACAAAATATGGGTGGTACACAGATGAGAGATTAATTGAATTGCGTAAATATATATGGTCTAGTATTTATGTAAGCTTGTGAATATGCATATTTTTTATAATTTTTTTTTATTTGCAGTTTTAGTCAAAACATGCAATGTTTGTTTGTTGAAAATATTGCGATTAATTGCGCGTTTTTTTGCTCAAGCAAAAATTTGTCTATACAAAATTTTTGGAAGGAAATTTAATACTGCGTTGTTATTGAACGAACAAACTTTATTAACAAATTCGTTTGCCTTACAATTACTAAAGCCAGTTAGAGGTAAGTTTTTTAACATTTAAAACCGCCAAATTTGCACGCTACAAAATCGAAATTCGCGTGAAAGAATATGAACTCATAAAATAATTTAAATTAAATGTTAAACATATTTTTCTACTTCCATTTTATGTAGAGAACGTGAAATTCAATTATTTTTTTTTTTATTTACGTTAAAGAAAAGATCTTTTTTTTTAAACTACAGGTAGGTACATAAAGTGACTCAAACAAAAACTCACATGTTTTCTTTTTTAATATTCACAATGTGTTTTTTATGTTATTTTTCAAAATTTATTTGCTTTAATTAAAACTATATGAATCAAAATTTTAGAAAATTTTGTAAAATTTAACAAATTCTCACCCAATTAGTGCAAAATGGCGCTTATTTTATGAAATTTTTTTGCGAACGGTCTTGCGCCATTTTTTTCCTAAGAAATTTATGTTTATATATATACAGTGACTCAAACAAGTGTTCATATGTTAATTTTTTAAATATTCGTAATGTTTTTCAAGTTGCTTTTTGTTAGTTTTTTTTTCATATTAATGCTTAACCCAAGACCATATAAACCAAATTTCAAACAATACAAAATTCAAAAAAATTTCATAAAAATTGCTAGCTTTTTAATCAGAATCTTTAGAACGGTTCTTTTATGTAATAAATGCAAGTTAATAAAAGTGTCGCTGTTAAAAATAAACGCAATTTTTTAGCCGGTTGAAACTTGGACCTTATCAGAAATTTTTACGAAAAGTTCTTGAATTTTCCTAAATTGTGTATAAGCTTTGAAACTTAGATTTATAGTGTTTAGTTGAAGCATTGATATTAAAGAATAACAAACAAATTTTGACATTAAGAACATTGTGAAT